CCCCCGAAATCCATGGAGAGTTTTGGGAGTTTGTGAATGCTCTGAAATTTTATGCGTCCATATACTTACTTATATGCAGAGAATTACATTGTTTTGTTACCATGTCCTCATAGGAACTTGATTCTCAAAACTCAAAAGCCATTCATTATCAGTGCTAATGAAATTATAAAACACAGGTGTTCAGAGCGTGCGCTAGTACGTGCCAGGCTTTTTAAAGAAGGCGAGGATGCAAATCCTGAGAGGAGTAGAAGTTGCAGTGATTTTTGTTACTTTTCATTTCTGACTTCAACTAAATGACAATGAATTCCCATGCATCTAAAGGTACTTGTGCACTGTAATTTCAATCTGCTGTACTGTACTGTATCATACTGCGGGGGATTCTATAGGAGATGTTCACAAATTAAGAGCATAAAGATGTTTATTCTTTCCAAAAGAACCAAAACTTTGCATATGTGTGGATTATGTTCCTGAGAGGAGAAAATGCTCGCACAGATGATGAACACCAGAGCTGTGTCCTAATTTTAATGCCTTAACCCAAGGCCAAGGGAGTGCCCTTCTAGGCCTGTCACCCTCTGTCAAACTTCAAGAGGTTGTGAAGTAGCCGCACATGCTTCTGTTCACCTGTTTGTTTGTGATACTAGTGTCATATAAAAAAGTCCAAGATAAGTATTGGAGTTTCTGTGTGATATATATATATATATATATATATATATATATATATATATTTCAACGTAAGTTTTTTCTGACTGGTTTAGGTAGGGGTTAAATTCCATTCTTTTATAAGAAGATAGGCATTTTTCCAAAAATTTTATAAAAAAGACTGTCCAGGGGTGTGTGTGTGTGTGTGTGTGTGTGTGTGTGTGTGTGTTTCATATTGGGGATTGAACTCGGGACCTTGCGCTTGCCAGACAGGAATTTACGCTGCTGAGCTATCTCTCTAGCCCCCCTTGTGTATTCTTGGTGACATGTTGCATGGCCACTGAGTAAAATTATTTGCAGGGATTGATTTCTGGGCTCACAAGTGTGTTTCATCTGTCTATACGTCACCATTGCTACCAAGAATGCACAGCTGTGTATGGCTATGCACTGTAATCTAAAGTCAGAAAGTGGGAAGACTCAAGGCTGATGCGTCTTTCTTAAGATTGTTCTTGACTGTGCAAGACCTTCCAGGTGAACTGCAGGAGGTTATTTTTCCTATTAAAATACCATTGCAGGCTGGGGAGATAGCTGTGTGGGCTAAGCACCTGTCTGTCCAGCAGAAGGAACCAGGTTCACTCCCTAGTACCACACCCTGGAATCTTGAGTGTGCCACGTCAGCCCAAAGCTGGGTGTGGTGGCACATGCCTGTAATTGCAGCCCTGAGGAGGCTGAGAAGGAGGATCACTAAGAATGTGAGCTGCATGCCAAATAATATATGAATAAAATAAGAAAGATGCAACATGGGTGAAGTAATAAATAGTGAAATAACAAATAATGTGACTTCATATAACTGTGAAATAGAATAAAGAGCCGGATGGATGATTGCAGGATACTGGGGAGGAGGGGCCTAGGGAGAAGGCCGAACTGCACAGACTCAGCTGTGATGATTCAGTGCGAGGACTGGGGGTGCAATCTGATGGCCAGAGCTAAAAGCCCTTGCATGCATACTTGAATTATGCTAAAATATATCTTAAATGGTCTCCTCACAAAAGTTATAAAATTATATGAACCCCAAAATATTTTATGAGAATAGGTGACAAAAATTTTAACAAAATTTTAAATGCTAAAATCACAACACCATCTGGCTTTATATTTGTCTTCTATATAAGGCTCTATTAATTTTATTTTCTCAGAAAGTCAGCTTTAATATACTAGCAGGTTACAATATAGTTTGCTGCATTTTCTTTGTGTCTTCTGGAATATGGATTGAGAACTCCTTCAGAGGTGCAGCTGCAGGGTGTGTGTGTTCATAGACTTGCCCAAGACCGCAGAGCTGCCATGCAGACAGCAGGCCTGGGAGCCAGGCAGCACTGCGGACGTTGGAATCTGCCTCTTCTGGACCAGCGAGCTCTGAGCTGGGCAGGCCTGAACCCATGGCTTGCTTTTCATGAGCTGAAGGCTGGATCCCATGGAGGGCCCCCCTCACGTCGCTGTGGGCCACTTTCTCAGTGGTCTGGGTTGCTGGGAGAGCAGAGTCAGGCACCTCTTCCCCAGCAAGCTGCACACAGGCTTCTCAGCAGGACGGTGCAGGTTCCCAGGGTGAGGGAGGCAGGAGGAGCCTGAGACCCAAGCTTGCCATTCACCGGGGGCTGTTGCTGCAACGCTTTCCTGAAAACAAACCCACACACCATTCTGGATTCTGGGCTCAGGAAGTGACAAAAGAGTGCCCTGAAACCGATGCAGAATCATAGTTATTTATTTTTTTGTACTTTAACTCATACATCGCTGAGTTGGGGTTAACTTCATTCTTTCTGTGATTTTAGGCTTGTAACCAAGGAGATCACTGCACAGTTGACATCAAGCTACATTTCTTTTCTATTTTTCCCCTTGGGGTTTGTTTCTGTTTCTGTGCGTATGCCTTGAATCCCTTTCACCTTAGCTCGCTGTGGATTCTGTATTGTAAAGGTCTTTGAAATAAACTATGAACTGATATCACCATCACACACACAGACATCAGAATCACAGCTAAAATACTGGGCCCTCTAGTGCAGCGTGCTCAAGCCTTCATGCAGTGCAATTACCTACCTGTTCCAAAACCTGGCAATCTGTCATGCGCAAACCGAAACAGGAGGCTTTTATAACCACATGTATATTTCGAAAAGACCACGCCTTGGGACTTCACCAGTATTTTAAAGATAAGTTGTTAGGCATGTAGAAATTCCTTTTTAGAGACCAAATTGTGAACAATGCCCTTGCCCTTGCCAGGAAGCGCTTATTTCACTGAGCTGTCTGCCCGGCCCGCTCTCACCCTTGACTTTACTCATCCCTTCCCTTCCTTTCTCCTGGAGCTGTCCATGTAAGAGTTCTGAGGTGAGCTTTTTAAATAGGGAAGATGGCCTGTGAAGTATTTCTAGCTTGTGAGGTCTCATTTTAGAAACCTAAGGTTCTAATGTTCAAATCTTCATCCTTGCAGTGTTCTTAGACACCTTTGAATGATGGCCCAGACAGCATGCTCTTGATTATTTGCCTTTTCTCCAGTGAATCAAAAAATCGTCATGACGTACTCCATCCACCTATTTTCATTTTCCTCTAAACTGTGCTACCAACAAGGCTAATAGGACAGGCACAATGGTGGTGCCTGTCATGGGGCCCAGCTGGGCAGGAAGCTGAGTTAAGAGGGTCGCTTGAACTCATAGCCTTCAGAGCAGCCTGGGTAATATAGTGGGGCCCTATCCCCATGCAAAACAAACAAGATCAACACAAAATAAAATGCATAAGAAATAGAGAAGACATTCTAGCTAGCTTTTCTTGTACAGACAGGTAAGAACATAGAAAAGACACTCCAGAGCCACCCTTGGGATCATGACTGTGACCCAGTATTTTATATATTAATGCATGCCACTCAGAGCCTGCCAAGTTAACTCTTCTCAAGATGCAGAAGGGCAGTGGAAGGGGGAGGGTGCCCTCATCTCTAACAAGCAGTATCACAACACATAGGGGCAGTCATCTTGCTTTTGTGTCCCAGGGACAAAGCTTACTCTGGCCTGGAAGAGATGCCTATACTTACAAGAGTGAAACAAATAATACCCCTCTATTGATCTTATTTTCTCCGGCTGCTCAACGCGAGGGAAGGAGTCAGCTGGATCCTTTGTCGGGTGAATCAAAATGGAAACCTAAAAAAAATCGTTTAGAATATTACATATGTTTAAGAGTGACTAGCATAGTTGACAAATGCTTTTTAGCTTTCTTTGGATTCTTTTGTAGTTCTTGAAGCTTCAGGACGTGAAACTGAAGAATTTAGGATCTCCCAGTTTCTTCACATTTAAAAACCTGGTCCTTCTAATGTTCAGCTTTGAGAAGTTCCTTATTCATGTATATAATCTCATATCACGTAGAGGAAAGACAGTAACAAGCACTATTTTTTAAAATGGAAACATTGTTTTCATTGAGTAACCAAATAACAGTAGCTGAGAAACATTTTTTGCATGTTAACATTGAGTTTATGTACACAGATATAGATTTTTTCCCTTCCTTCTTTCTTTTTCCTCCTTTCACACCTCTCACTTGTTCCTTCCCTTTGAGCAGTTCCTTTTTCTTTCATAGTACTAATTGTACTTTCAGATTTTATTTATTCTTCCAGGTTCTTGCACTAGAGAGACAATACAATATTTACATATATGGATCCAATTTATTTCACTTATGCATATGGTCTGCAGAATTACTTCTCTTATGTACAAAAACTCAAGTTTATCTTATTTTTTATAACTAATACTTGAATAAAACTAAACTTTTAAATAGGTAAATAAATTTAGATTGTTAGAAAACTATAGCTTTAGAAGAAAAGGGAGAAAAAAGTTATCCTCTGCTAAGAGTGGAAAATAGTCATATGCTGAATATTTATATAGAAAACTACTACAGTAGAGAACACATTGTTAACAATTCCCCTAGAAATATCTCAAGCCTCAGCGCTCTCCCAAGGAGCTTAGCCCATCATGCTTGCATATGTGTCTTTCACTGAAGTGTGCTACTTCATGTGTGTCACTTTTACTCACTCATCCGTCTCTTAGGAATCCATCAGTGACCCTGATAAGCTTTCTTTTTCTAACCTGTTCATAAAAGGCTGCCCCTGAATTCCACCATTTTTACATTCAAGCTCTAGTTTTGAAAGCAAATTTGAACTCCATCTCCAATAGATGTCCAAAGTTACAGACTGAACTCTATAATTCCAGCAGGAAGGTAGGCGTCCGTCCCACGGCTCATGATGGTCAAGTTGAGGACACACTGCCGATCCCTCTTTACGGAGGTCTCACTAAGTTCTCTTTGTCTCCTCCTCTCGACAGTCAGGAGTTCCCTTTGCAGACATGGAAGTGGGAAATCGCACTGTCCTGACTGAGTTCATCTTGGTGGGCCTCTCAGCCAACCCCCGCTGGCAGCTAATCATATTTGGAGTGTTTCTGATGCTCTATTTGGCAACCATGTCAGGGAACCTGGCCCTGGTAATCTTAATCTGGATTGACTCCCGGTTGCACACACCTATGTACATCTTCATCAGCAGCCTGTCACTTCTGGATTTCTGGTACACCTCCGTGTACACACCCAAGCTTCTGGCCAATTGCATTTCAGAAGATAAGCGCATTTCCCTGGCTGGCTGTGGGGCCCAGTTCTTCTTCTCCTGCGTGGCTGCCTACACCGAGTGCTACCTGCTGGCAGCCATGGCTTACGACCGCCACGTGGCAATTTGCAGCCCACTGCTGTACTCAGCTACCATGTCTTCATCTCTCTGCACTGGGCTTGTTGCTGGATCCTATGTAGGAGGGTTTCTGAATGCCATAGCCCACACTGCCAACACTTTCCGGCTGAGTTTCTGTGGTAAAAACGTCATTGACCACTTTCTATGTGATGTGTTGCCATTGGTAAAAATGTCCTGTACAGACACCCGAGTTTATGTGAAAATTGTGTCTAGTCTGGTGGGGTTCACTGTCCTCTCCTGCCTGCTTGTCATCCTCCTTTCCTATTTCAGCATCCTCCTGGCCATCCTGAGGATTCGCTCTGCCTCAGGGAGGCGCAAGGCTTTCTCCACCTGCGCTTCTCACATGGTCTCCGTCATGCTCTTCTACGGATCTTTGCTCTTTGTGTACTCGAGGCCCAGCTCCAGCTACTCCCTGGAGAGGGACAAAGTGGCTGCCCTGTTCTATACCATCATCAACCCGCTGCTCAACCCTCTCATCTACAGCCTGAGAAACAAGGATGTCAAGGAAGCCTTCAGGAAAGCCATGCAGACTGTACGACCACAACCGTGAAGGCCATCGTGTGCACTATATTGTGGTCCAGCAATTACTGACTTGTAGATGTTTGTATGCATTTCCATATTTCAACTAGTTTTGACAAGTTGTACTCAGCAGCCAACATGCAAAATACCCCAAAAAGCACTCTTTCATCCTCTCTTCCTCTTTATTCTTTTTTTGTGATATACATTGTTTATAGTTTATAATATGAGGTTATTTTAAATTCTATAATGTGATAGTTGCCTCTTTGCAGTAGCAGATTTTAGAAAAAATATTCTTTTGATTTCCTTTGAGGTCTTTGAAAGTGAAAGCATGAATTGAATGAGTTTTTGGCATACTTTTTTTTTTTTTTTTTTTTTTTATTTTTAG